TATGGATTCTACAGGCCACATTCTATAAGAAAATTTTTTTTCCGGGTCGATCTGAAACAATTTTTTTTTCGGGGCTCAAAAAAAGGCAGTGTATAACCTTCCTTTTTTACCAAAAATCGACTACACCAAAATTTCTCGGGAAAACACTTTTTCTTATTAATTTGGGTGCGTAGAATCCAAATCAATTCGTACTTTTTCGATCAGACTTCTCAATCAAAAGTTATAGACTAGAAACCAATTTCGAAAAAAAATTCAATGGGCTGTAACTAGGGAATGCAATAGCGGGATCCCGAAATACCGGGATCCCGCAGCATTTTTGCGGGATTAATCCCGCACATAAATGGAGCGGGATCCCGCGGGATTTGCGGGACTGAGGAATTTGTCGACCAAGGGAAACGACTCTGTTTGCTTTGTTAATGAAACGCATAACGGAGAAATTATTTTTAAAATAACTGTTAAACTTTTTTCGTTAAAAATTTACTATGATTTTTGAGGCACTTTAGAAGTTCGCCTTTTTGTGCTTTACAGGTGAGGTTTTTTTGAGTTCTAAGTTAGGCTGAAGGTACTTTTTTGTTGAATATTGTGATAATTAGCGATTTATTTTAATACAGAAGTTAACTGCACAAAATTGCTTATTTGCCAATTTATTTAAAATTTTGCGGGATCCCGCAAATACCGGAATTGAGATTTTGCTGCGGGATTGCATTCCCTAGTTCCCATCATTATTATATGCGTACCAAATTTGGTTTCAATCGGTTCTGATGGAAATGCGAGAGCACAGACAGACCGACTTGATCGATATTTTGTATGATTTGGATTCTTGGTGCTTCACAGCGTGTTTAAGTCATTTTTTACCCTAATGCAATATCTGCGAGTGGTAAAAAACGATTCAATTTGCTGTAGTATTTCAGAAAAAATTTCACGTGGTTTCCTTAGTAAAAAACTGTTAGCTCTTAGCGGCTCAACAGCTTTTCCTGTCGATAGCGTTATCCTCTTTGAAACCACTTCAGTAAATCCTTTGCCAAACTAATTCTTTGGAGCGTTTATGCATTAACCCTTTGTTTTTAGGATGTGAGGTATTAAATGCAAAAATGTACCTAATAAAGTTTAATATCAAAATGTATTATAATTTTATTTGCCGCTTAAAAATATTTCCACAGCCATCTTGGGCGTATAAAATAACATCCTCATCAAAGCCAGCCGCCCTAACTGGAATTTGAAACGAAAATTTCAGCACTTTCCCTCCAAATACCCACGCTTTAAGCACCATTTCGTCGTCTTTCCGTCGAATTTCAATAACTCTTATACCGACAATTGATCTGACAACATTACTAGCTGAATCATAGCAAATGGACACTTGTCTAGAGCTGTCTACGTTCTGGAACCACCTAAAAAAGAAATTAAGTATGGTAGCAGGAACGCGGTTACTGTACTTGTGGTAGTAGATGATAAATAGGGCACTTTTTGACCATCCAGAATAATCTGGTGTAATTTGGGAAGCGTCTGTGCAACGGTAATCGCAAAACCGCTGTTCGTTAGCGACCGCCAAAAACACATCGTCAATTTGTCCAAAGTTAGGTCCCATTATGCCAGCCTCGGAGTGGCCCAAATCGAAGGTATGGCACAATTCGTGAAGTACCGCCCCCAAGCTGGCGATGAAGCAACCGCCCCAAGTGTCGCGCGAATTGCTATAGTTCATTAATTTAGTTTTATCCACTAAAGTATTCTTGCACAGTTTTCCGTACACGCCATCCAAAGTTTCAGGCCACGTGTACAGGCAGCCAGTGCTGAGCAAGGCTAACCCATCACCTCCATACGCGACATAACCCTTAACCAACTTAAGCATCTCCTTGTACGGCATACCTTCGTAGTAACCTTCCCCATTGTAAACACTGCAAGATAGAAACGCAAGGTACTTTCTGTTGTCACTACCAATACCCGAGGACATAATTTCACGCGCGAAATGATACCACAACTCCACTTGTGTCATACTCAGCGCGTTCTCCACGTTTAGCTTACTATGCCATGTGAGACAATCGACCTCCATTTCGTAAGACCTCCTCTCCATCCCAACCTTAGCGAACTTATAACCGAAAACGCTCTGCAGCAGCTTGCAGACCGCTGTGATTCGCTTACATGCACTTTCTGGCGAGTTTACTTCACCGGGAGGCGCCTGGAACCTGCCATCGTGGCCCTCGCAAACAATGTATAAAGGCAAAACAGTGAAACTGGACTTACGTCGTTTGTAGTGCAGCTTTACACTAATGGAGAAAGAGCAATATTTAAAGGTAAACTCGTTACTGCCAGCGTTCAATTGCAGAATACATTTAAAAGAATTGTCTCTTGTATTTGTCTCAATGCCCCTTTGGGGCTCACCTGTCGCGAAAACGGAAATTTGAGAAGTGCAGGTCTCGGCGTTTTCGATGAGACCACTGCAAATGATTGCTGAGTAGGTGAAGGAGTCTCCATCGCTTAGGTTGTCTAATGTTATAGTGTGATTGCAAGTTGGTGTTTGGTCATGCTTGAAAGACTGAAAACAAATAAATTAAAATTACACTTTCGATACAAATAAATTACCAATGTTCTATATTAATAAATTTTGACGTCATAAGCAGGGTTTTTTTCTTTTACTAATTTTTTTGATATAAAATACATAAATCCAGAATCTTTTTTTGCAAAATATGTACCTATATATTTAGTAAATATCTACTATAAAGTCCCTCTACTCCCCTCCCCCCTCAATCCTCTTTATCCTTGGTGATTGTACCTCTTTTCGAATATGTTGCAGTACAATACACAGTATATCAAACTATGTACATATAAAACTTTCTATTAAACAAATCAAATACCAAAAAAATATTGGATGCAGCTACATTTCTTGAACAAATTAATCTCTGGATTCGAATTCCATAATTAAATATGAATGAGAAAAGCATAGACATTATACCATTGTATATGTATATACAATGATTATACATATGCATAATGCAAGCATTGATCGAATCAATCCTTGTGTTGCACTCTATTGAGTAAAATTATAACTACCAAAAGGTTATATTTATAAATTTTGTATAACTGCATCATTATTATTTAGTAAATTTAAAGTATGGGGTCACTATTCTCGTGTTTAATAACTAGGCATAATGAAATAAAATAATGTGAAGTAACATACCATTAAAACTACATATAGAATGTAATTGATGAAGAAACTGTACGCTCGCAGAGTAACTGTGACTCTTTTTCGTCCCTAGATGGCGGGTATTGTCTCGATAGACCGTTTATGCATTGATTACGTTTTCTCTATACATCAACTTACCTTTTTACATGCACAGTATATGTACTACCTTACGTCCCATACTCAATAACGCTGATGACAACGGACCCAAAGATTTGACGGTGTGACTATACAAATATTTCAAATAAGTTGAAATTTATTTCACATACTTAATAGTACCTATAGTGACGAATAATAAAAACTTGACAAAAAATGAAAACAAAATCTGTCATAATATGTCTACATGTATTGAAATAAATAATTATATCAACTAATAAAAAGATTCGTTCAAAAAGGGCCTTTTTAGTAAACCCAGTCGGCGATGGATGAAGCTTTCCAAATTATCGTATTTAAATTCTATAAAGTATTGTTTTCATAATGGTTTCCGGAAGCCTTCGTCGGAATATAGGTAGGGTTTTTGTTGTACAGATAGCTGACCTAAGAATTACGCAGTTTCTGAAATCACCACTACGGCACTACGCATTTAAAAATACACTCTCGGTCGTTGCGTGTTTACTACAGCGAGGGTTCCTATTGTTTCAGGCACTGATTTAAGTCGTTAATTTTCCTGAAGTTTTCCGCGATCTTACAATAAAAAAAAGGACGAAAACAATTGGAAGCAAAAGAGACTTCTCCGATTTAACCGAACGAATATTTTCCATCTGTAAAGAATAATGAAGCATAATATATGTATTTGTACTCTGTGTATCGCCTTCCTTCAGTGTTTCAGAGCAAGAGAAATTGCATGAAACCTTACTACTGAATTACATTTGAATATTCGATCATTATCATTATTACTAGTTTTTATAATTGCTACCACCAATTTTTTTATCCCAAACGGGAACAGAGAAATACAGTGTCGTATTTTCAATTAAAAGTACCTACATTAACATTAATTATTATACATTCTATTTTAAATTTTTTAAACCAATATACATATAGGCACAGATTAAATACAATCTGTGATATAGGGTACCAATTTATGGTTATAGAATCTTAAAATGAAGGCACTCGTATAGTTTTCGTAATTATTAAATAAAACACAATTATACAATTTTCTTAAGAGGAATTTGTGTATCATGTTGAATCTAATATAACCTCCAATTTGAATCTGATCTTGACTGTCGAAAAGCGTTCGGTGCGTTCTACACCCTCAATTTATAGAATTCCAAATGTACCTAAATGCAATAAAAAGCTTCGGTCATTAACAAAAATGTTTTAAAATAAACAAAAGGCTCAAAATTTATTTTGGGATTACATCCCCAGAATTCCAAAAATGATCCCCACTAACCGTGACTGAATGGAATATTGAATTAAGGGGTTTACCTAGGTTTTTGGGGATAGATGATTACGTTTTGGGTGTGCTTTCTCCGACTTTGTAAAAAATTGTTAATATTTTTACCTCAGAATAGCGCACCCCTATGTCTAGTAAGAATTATTCTGAATTAGCTGAGAAATGTAGAGGGTATTTTTGTGGTACCTCTTTAGAAAATGTGTGCTTATATAGTTATATTACTCCGAAGGCCGATTAGAGGTGAAATACATCAATAATTTTTCCAAAATTGCTCTACAGCAGTTATATCATTATTACTTGATTAGAGTGTACGTTTCTAGCATCGAAAAATACCACTTTTCAATTTATTACAATGATTCATTATTGTCTATGCGAATAAACTGGTCCGGGGAGCAATCTGACCTCGAGTTTATCTATCAGAACATTAAACGTATTTTGGAAATTAGTTTCTTATCGGCTTGCGACAAGTGTGCGTGTGACGTGTTCTCCAATGCTTCCTTCTGCTGGACGTAACAAACTGTTAAAGGTAAGATTTTAAAAAACAAAATTGTCGTGTGTTTTTCCCTTATTGTTACAAGATTCACCATCTCGTTCAAGAATGTAATTAATGAAAACTTGTATCAAAATTCGGTTTTTTGAGTTTGCCAAAAACCGTCACTACATTGCGAGCGTTGCAAGTTAAATCCGTTTATTCGCGTTTTTCCTCAAGACAGGGAGATTTTTCTTTGACTAGTACTTTCATAGAAAATTGTGCTTGCTAGTTTTTGCACGCATCTTCAAATATTTGAGCATCATTGCCTCAAGAGAACCACAGTCCACTTTCGCCCTGTACGAATTTAATCTAAAAAAATGAGTCTTGTTCGCGATATTTTGTATGAATGGTTCACAATCAAATTATCCTTCGCTGATTGAGATTCGCCTTATAATTTTAATGAACAAAATGCGGAATTGTGCGCTTAACTGAATACCATGGTATAATAAACTGAATACTGAAACTCTTGTGATCGTTGAAGTAAGTAACTAAAGTTGAAATTAGGTAGCACACAAAAAAAATTGAAGTTTTATTGCAGTTTTTTGGTTGTCTTGCTGCAGTGTTTGTTGCAAAGGCAATCAATAGTCAGGCGATTTCCTTACGATAGGTAATTGGAATTTGCCTTATGAAGACACTGTAATAGACTTTTTGGTACAGGTACTGAATAAATTTCAACATTATCGCTGAAACCGAGGAACCTCGGTCGAACAAATGCCAACTTTGAATTTAAGAGCGTCCACGTCAACGTATACCACTTCAATTCAACTCAATTTTCTTATTATAAACTGTTATAATATTTCAGAGGTTGGTTGAATTTAAATCCACGGCACTTTTATAACAAACGTATATTTATTTTACTATACAAGTGACCATATCTTAAAATTAGTGCACTTTTTGAACCAATTAAAATCATCATCAGAAGCTAAAGTACCTAATACCTACCTAATTAATTATACCCACTTAATTAGTTAGTACTTAACTCAATAGTGGGCAAAATACAATGAACGTCCTGTATATTGCATTCAATAGATATTTGTTTACCACTTATTTATATAATGGTTTATTTTCTACCCTATTACTAATGCAAATACAATAGTATTTTTCTATGTAAAAGACGAAATAATAAGGGATAGATCATTCCTTTGGAAACTGCTGAACGCACCAAAAAATGTTGGTGGTATAAATCAATAACAAATTATACATTGTGCTATGATTGTATACTGCCATCTCTATCTCAAATATTTTCGGAATTCATAATAATAATTTGGTGTATTTAAAATGGGTACAATGCACAATAATATAGTACCTACCTACTTTAACTTAGTATACTTACATGTCATGATTATAGTATTTAAATGCCAAGTCTATAATGTACATTTTAAATAAACAATTTCAACCAGCAATTTCCTTTGTTTTATTTCTGGTATTATATTGATGTTCATTTTTTAAGACTATTTTTACTTTTGAATTGACGCATGACAGGATTCTTGAAGTATAGTTGCTTTATGCTATACATTTTGGTTTCCTTGTATAATAGTTCGGTTGTATTCTTTGTTGAATATTAATTTCTTTTATGCACTACTTCCAGGTTTCTAAGAAGCGTTCGTGATGCCGATCCCCAACTGGCAATACCATATTCAAGGAGTGATTGTACCAGGCCATAATATATGATTTTTAGTCGGTTAATATCCAAAATAGGTACGTAATTTTAAAAGTAGTTATTTTTCATAGTTTTTACGAGAGAATTATAAATGATTCTGTACGTTATGTACTTCTTTTTGTGATCATTATTATTTACATCTTTTTTCCAGATTATTAGTAACTTTTGTTTTTGTTTGCTTGACTGAACCAATCCGTCCCTTATCCTTTCGTTTCTCTTAAAATCACCAGGTTTTATTTTTATAAGCGTCGTTGCTTCTGTGATTTCAGATGTTATTTTGCTTATAAGGAAATCTGCTGATTGTGCAGGCTTCATGTTTATCTAATCCTTTAACTTTACTTATAAACTTTACCTTTAAATCTAAAGTAAAGCAAACTCTTTTACAGTATTCTTTTTACTCCTTTGAAGAATTTGAAGAGTTTTGTGATAATTGGGTGTAACTTTGTTGAAGTTTATGTTTGTTAGTTTCGTTTGTCTGACTGTTTTTTTACGTGTTATATACATTTTTTACCATGACAAGTGTAAGTGTACCATCACAACAGCACAATAAATATTATTATTATTATTAATCATTTCGAAAGGTCTTTTCTGGCATTACTGGTAGTTTAGATGCTAATTTAATAAATTTCCGCGTACTAGGGGATTATATTCATTTTATTCTCAGGATTACGCAGTTTGTTTACTACGATGGTTGAGTAGTGATCTGTTATATCAGTTTCAAGAATAACTGGAATATAATTCTCTTCTCCGAATCTATTTTTTATGAATATACTATCAAAACATGAATTAAATTGATTGTGCACCCTAGTAAATGCGCTAATAAGCGAAGTATATCCAGTTTCGCTAAGAATATTTAGGTATTCATTAACGTAATCCCAATTGTCTAGGAGGTCTATGTTGATATCCCCTAAGTATTACAAATTTGTAATCCGAAGGTGTTGAATCTGATCTTATCATTGAAGAAGTAAGGCCATGTTGATGGGGGTGTATGTATATATGGCTAATATTGTAATAAGTTTGCCTGAACATGTCAATTTTGCTTCAATAGCTGCAGTGTTACCTATATCATAGAGTTTACTCTATGCCTATATGCAATATTGTGCTATTGTAGTTATATTATTCTTTTATATACATTATGATACGGTCACTTTGATTAATGTTACCTTGGTTATATATATTATATGGTTGCGAGTTGATTATTAATTAGATAAAGGCAAAATCTAACAAACGAACAAAAATTCAAGTATTTACTGTTTTTGAGGTACTAAAATGCACAATATTTGAGTAGGTATATTAGATTGGACACCGATTTTTACATTTCAATAAAATAGGCATATATGGATCTAAGAAAAGAAAACTTAGTTCTTGTTTCTAAAGGCCCTTTGAAAGACCGTATTGTTCGGAGTTCTTCTAACCCAACCCCCAAGGCTTGAAGTGAAACTTTCTTTTAGAAGAGAATCTTGAGGCATTTCTTGTACTAGTAGGTATAATCATTCTTTTACTCTGACACTATGCTGTGTTTGTTAAAACGGTCCACTTTATATTTATACCTGACTTGCATAAAAAGAAACAACTCCAGGTTACTACAGGTAGTCATCTTGAGCTGATGACCTACAGGTTAATTTTAAATCAGTTGTGTAAGCGAGTAGGAGGAGTGCCTTAACCTCTTGTCATACGCATGCTGTTACCAGCAATTTAAGCATAATGGTACGTTTAGACTTGTTATTTTTCTTTGTTTATTCTGGGTAGATATCCAGTTACTTCATAAGTTGGGCATTAGCATGATTGTTTAATGAATACACAATAGACAGTAATCTTCTTATATGAGGGTGCTTCTCAAATTTTTATCCATAGATGGTGTTCTGCTATAGATTTTGGACAAGTCCAATGAAAATTTTGCAAAATTTGTTTGGACAAAAAAGTTCATTAGCCGAATTTTGAAAGTATGTTATTGTACAAGACATCAACAAGGAAATTGAAAAGTTGCTAATTGCGCTGATCTGGATATTGACATCTCGAAATATTTATAAGCGGTGCTAATAAAATACAAGTTTTCTGCTTTAATAAAGACAAATGCATGAAAGTTTCCAAAATGCGTGTCAGTATTACGTCTTGCGTACTCGAATTTTTACCTTTACGTGTAAAGTCCTTACATTCTAAAATCCCATGCTGTACCGGAAAAGGCCAACGACCGGAGTGCGAATGATTTTCATTTGCGATTTTTTATGCAATACTCGTGTTGACATTCACATCAAAATTAATAGTCATTTCGCGCTCGTTTCTTTTCAATTAACCTTTAAATACATTATTTAAGTTTTAAATAAACTATATTATTACATTTACACACCTTTATTTATTCCGTACGTTTATTTACGAAAAATGCAAATTTTTGCAATCGCACATTTTTAATTGGCGAATAATTAAGAAACGGGCGAAGAGGTGTCAATCGTCTGACGAGGTTAATTGTATGCTGATTTACAGTGTGATCTCATTACCTTTTACCAATTACCCGAATAGTTAGTTCCCTTCACGTAAATTAACTCGTAACAGAATGTTCCGCTGATTTAATGTTCAATTCTAAAAATAAAAATGTGAACGTATTCTTATGTAATGATCGGATGTCAAGTCTCTATAAATGGCATTTTCCACTTCTGAACATTGTCCACAAAGGTACACGTTTTTGCCCTGCCTAGAATTTTTCTGTTATTTGTTAATTATGCTTGCTGAGAAATGGGGGGAGAATTCACAAATTCAGAGCTGCCATTTCAAAAAGAATCACGGATTGTAATTGGTAATTTTGATTAAAATCAAAAATTGTACAAACACATCCATTTAGATAGCTGGGGGAAGGTTAATGATTAATAAAAGGTTTACCTTATAACCATCACTCCCGCACCCCCACTTTAAAATTATAATCTGCCTAACAGAAATACGCACAAAATCAAATTTTGATGGTAAATGAATTTTTTTCTGAAACTACTTTCGTCTCTAAAAATGTGATTTTCCTCTCTAGTGAAGAAAGTAAAAAACCATTGCTGCGTTAATCTTAATAATGACATTTTGTTTAGAACTGAAACATACTCGTATCTAGATTGCTATGTGTTAAGCTTCACTATTGCATACGATTATTTTTCAATTTTGATTGTTAGTACTATATTATATACCCAGATGTGTGTTTTAATCCAATAAGGGTGGTTTCTTATTGAAGGCAACAAAAACCCGAGGGATTATGACGCAGTTTAGTGCTACATACACCGTAGCTATTTTTTGTACTCCAGTAAATGGCTACAGCAATTTTAAGTTAACGTCCAAATTTGAAAGAAGAAAAAACTGTATGATTGTAGAATTTTAAGATGTAAGCTTTTAATGTTACGTTTGTTACGGTAGAATTAAAATTTCATATTAATTTAGAGTTTCTCGTACAAAACTACGGCACAGAAATGATCGTTTAAAAGCCCCAGAAGAGGATTTATGAGGAAATTATTGCCTCCCAAATTCAACTAGTTATCAGATAAACTCCTGACTGGACTTTCCGACTACTTTTAATATAGGTAGTCATTGCAATTATTTTTGGTCATAGTATAACATTTAGAAATGCCCTCTGGCGCCTTTATTTTGAACCCGACGCAAAACGTGTATAAAACCTTTTCTGTAATTAACATTTTTTCGAGCATTTTTTATTCTGATGCTTACTTTTTGAGAAAAATGCAAATTTAGAAAAATAAAAGGAATAGTTTAACTTTTCAATTGAAAACTTCTCAAAAATAAAGAAAATCTCAAAAAATTGCAATGAATTTTTTTGTAGTTTTTAAAGCTTGCCAAATATTTTAAGTTATTCGCATTACTTATAGAATACTTAGCATGCGGGGGTTGTAACTTTCGAAATGCCGGTGAACATTTTTATTTCTTTGATAGATTATGTTTAAATAATCTATAAACAACCCTTAAACTGCCCTTGAATAATAAAATTCCTTATGCCTTAAGCCTGCCAAATATTTTAAGTAATTCACACTATAACTTATAGAATACTTAGAGTGCGGGGGTTGTAAATTTCGGAATACAGTGAACATTTTTATTTCGTTGATAGATTATGTTTAAATAATGTATAAACAACCCTTAAACTGCCCTTCAATAATAAATTTCCATATGATTTAAGCTTGCCAAATATTTTAAGTAATTCACACTATAACTTAGGTATAGAATACTTTGAGTGCGCGGGGGTTGTAAATTTCGTAATACAGTGAACATTTTTATTTCGTTGATAGATTATGTTTAAATAGTGTATAAACAACCCTTAAACTGCCCTTGAATAATAAAATTCCGTATGCCTTAAGCCTGCCAAATATTTTAAGTAATTCACACTATAACTTATGGAATACTTAGACTGCGGGGGTTGTAAATTTCGTAATACAGTGAACATTTTTATTTCGTTGATAGATTATGTTTAAATAATGTATAAAAACCCTTAAACTGCCCTTGAATAATAAATTTCCGTGTGCTTTAAGCTTGCCAATTATTTTAAGTAATTCACACTATAACTTATAGAATACTTAGACTGCGGGGGTTGTAAATTTCGTAATACAGTGAACATTTTTATTTAGTTGATATATTATGTTTAAATAATGTATAAACAACCCTTAAACTGCCCTTCAATATTAAATTTCCGTGTGCTTTAAGCTTGCCAATTATTTTAAGTAGTTCACACTATAACTTATAAAATACTTTGAGTGCGGGGGTTGTAAATTTCGTAATACAGTGAACATTTTTATTTCGGTGATAGATTATGTTTAAATAATGTATAAACAACCCTTAAACTGCCCTTGAATAATAAATTTCCGTGTGCTTTAAGCTTGCCAAATATTTTAAGTAATTCACACTATAACTTATAGAATACTTAGACTGCGGGGGTTGTAAATTTCGTAATACAGTGAACATTTTTATTTCTATGATAGATTATGTTGAAATAATGTATAAACAACCCTTAAACTGCCCTTGAATAATAAATTTCCGCATGCCTTAAATAACTTTGAAAAGTGTA